TTTTATTTTAACGCAAGAATTAAACTAATGCTAGAAAATTATGAAAAAAAACAGCCTAAATAACCACAAAAAAAACCTATAATTGTTTTTAACTTATTCCAATAATTCTACAACAAAAAAAAATTTACAGTAAAATTTTTTTTATCTTTCTTTTTAAGAATCTTTATTTAACTAAAAAGCAATTAAAATATATGTAGTTCGAAGACAAATAAGTATTTAAGCTACAAAAGTTTAAGAAAATATTGGTATGCAGGCAGTAAAAAATAAATTATTTTTCGATAGGATTTTGCTATAATTTCAACAGAGACAAACTACATTATTACACGCAAAGAAGAAAATGTGTGCAAAAATGTTACCATCTTTTTCTTTGAAAATATTTTACATACTGTATTACATCAGAGTGCGAAATTTCCACTCGTCATTGGCGACCAAACATTTAGCTTGGCGCTAGTAACAGAGTTTGATTCTAGAGTAGTATTCTAGAGAAGTTTAGTGCAGTAAGAAGAGGTATACAATTTGACAGTAGAACTGCACTTAACCAATAGTATTGGCATTACTGATACTTTAATTTTCTTATTTTAATGAGATGCGGGCAATACTGAAACCATTGAGACCTTAAAAGAACCTTATTTTAAATTAATATAATAGCTTATTTGCAATAATGTGCTTCCATTTCTCAGTCTCTACATTCTTTTATAGTTTTTAATAATAAAAAAATCTTTATGTAACATTTAAACATTTTAAAAATTGTTCATATTTTTAGTGACAAGCAAAAATTTTAGTCTGGGTAGTACTATTAGAATTGAAATTTCATACCATGGTATATATGGATAATTTGTGGAACTTCATTTTTAAATATTAAAAGCAAACTTATATTATTTTTATTAAACTAAATATTTTAATTTTTTAACATAAAAACTGGATCTATTTTTACTTTTCCAAAAAATCATTGTTTAAAACGCCTGTCCTTGCAAAGAATTAATGCACTATAACAATTAAAATAATGCAATAAATGCATGTACTTTATGCCAACCAGCCAAGAATTAGTGTCTGATTTATTATAAGAAGGTCTGAGAGGCACAAGCCTAGGCCCTCACATCTTCGGGGACCCCTATTATTTTTGTGTTTTATCTTAGGAATTGTCTATTAGAGAATCAAGAGTTAACAAAAATTTAAATAAATATTAGCTCAAATTTACTCACTATATTGTAATTTACTTATGATGCAAATCATTTTAAAAAATTCATCATAATTCAGGGGTCTGCTTAGAAGAAATTTGGTTTCGACAAAATATTTTAACTTAAAAACGGACCATTCACAAAATGATTTTTCTTTTAATCGGACCCTTCACCAATTTGTTTATCTTCACTATTGCTTTGTTAATTGAATAAACCCTTCCCAGGGCAGAAAACAAGAAAGAAGGATGTAAACGAATTAAATTTTGTCTTCGGCAGACAATTCTTCCATTATTAGTCCGAAATGAATATTCTGCGTTCAACAATATAGGCTAAATACCAAATATTTGTATGTTGCATCTCTAATTTAGAAGCAGCAATTGCTGTTTATTTTCGAAAATTTAATTTTTTTTATTATAATTATACAGTGCTGAGCATAATCTTCAATCTATTTAAAAACTCATGGAAAAAGTTTTTTGCAATAACCGGACCCTATTTGCACAAGTTCATAAAAGCAGGACCCTGGTTGGAAGAATGTGAGTAATTTTTTCACAAAAACCGGACCTTTCACAAAATGTCTGGACAGACCCCTGTAATTAAACGACAAGCAAATTTGGTTCAAAGTAACGACTATGAGGCCACTGACAATTCTGTGCTTAGCACCCCCACATTTATAAATAAGGCCCTGACTAGAATATATTGTTCGCCAAAAACTCTTAATTTCTTCCTTTGTTGGGAAGTATAAAAATTACTGACTTCTGATACTTCATAATACAGTGAAACCTTAAGAAAAAACCACATCTGTGTAACAACATCCTCTATTTGCAACCACTTTAGGAAGGGATAGAATTTTTTTCATAGACTTTGCGTTAAAGAAACCCTTTAGGAGAATTCATCAGCAATTGGGCAAACCTCTACCCCAAATGCGGAGGTCAAATAAGGAAACACGAAAAAATATTGAAACAAATAAAAATTAATAAATAAGTAGATTTGATTGCATTCAAAATATTTGTGAGTGGCTCTTATTTGGAGAGCTCTTCCTGACCATCTCTAAAAGAGAAGTAGATTTGATTGTATTCAAAATAATTGTGAGTGGCTCTTACAGTGGAGCATCGTTTATACGACGCCGAAGGGACCACCGAAAAACGTCGTATAAACGATAACGTCGTATAATCGATTTTAACTTCTAAAACTGAAACTAACTCTGTTTTCAGTTAATTTTAATGTTTAACGTGTTGATTTACATAAATTTCTAAATTAGACAAAGCAGAACAAACAAGTAACCAAAGAAAAAAAATTTTCAGTGAGCAATTTGAATGTATGATACCTTTAATTATATTTTCTTGCTATTAGTCTCTACAATGCTTTGAATAGCGAGTTGAACTTACTGCTTTCTATGATGCAATTTTAGATTTCCAATCACTGCAAAATCTAATGGCTGAAGCGCACTTGTGCAATTTGCAGGAAAAAAGGGAGCTTTTACATTTTCCGAAATAATTAGTATCGATGGGTGCGCTGGACATTGGTCGATGAATAGCAAAATTTTTCGTTTTTCCTTCTTCATAGCATTGTCAAGTTTTTTCAGTCATCTAGTAAAAATTACGGTCGACATCCAAGCATTCTTGTTGGCACCCTTTTCTGTATCATTCATGTTGGCAAATTCCGCCCTTTTTTAAAATACACAAGTAAAAATAAAAAATTATATAAACGTGAACAAAATCTAAAAACCGACGTATAACCGATTCTGTGCGTCGTATAAACGATATATTTTTATATTAAAATGAATAGGAATGATTTGGGACCACACTAAAACGTCGTATAAATGTAAACGTCGTATAAGTGATCGTCGTATAAACGATGCTCCACTGTATTTAGAGAGCTCTTTCTGACCATCTCAAAAAGAGATCGACAAACTCATGTCACAGCCAGAAAGCTCTGAAGACAAAGCTATCAATGATTTATTTTTAGAGTTGAAAATTAAATTAGAAGAAAAAAAGTTTTTTTTAACAAAAAAAAACTAACTTAAACAAACAAACTTCTTCTCATTTTTTAAAGCTAACTAATTTTTATGATATAAAATTAAATGCAAACTAAAACAAAACACATAATTTTTTATTTATTTAAAATAGTTCTATCATTCGAAATTGTTAAGTTTGTTTTTACACATAATTATAACAATAAAGGTCATTTTTATTGACGTTAAATCTTATTCATCGATCTGGTTATTACAATGCCAGTACAAGCGGCATTTCCGCACCAATAATACTTACTGAGTAAAATTTAAATTGCTGGCAAAAAATCACTGGGGATAATTCCAAGACCAACTACAATCGCCAAGGTGCCAAATAGATTTTAAACTTGCAAATTGTTTTTTTAAAAATGTACATGTTTGCACGGTAAGAGCTATACATTTAGAGATGTTTCTTTTAGCTTCCCGCAGGCTACTGCGCAGAAGTTGCCAAGACTTGGAGATTATTCTGCCACAGATCCCGATATGGAAGTCTTCCAAATCATGTACCTTCAATAATACTTCGAGGTCAATAAAGGTAACCCCTAAGAGAGACCAATTTACTGTAGAACAGTGAGTGGTCGCTCCCGAAAGATTTCACTGCACTAATTAAAAATATTAAAAAATATCACAGGACCGACATATACGTGATCGTGCGATTCACCTTACACAGCTCATGATATCACACATAAAACAACATTTCAAACTCTAGTGGCCCATGATCACATGGACGTTATCCTTATACACTATACTCGTAATAGTATGTTTACTGGAGAATGTGGGCCTGGGAAAGCAGAAAGCACTTATTACTCAATCTGTCAGTCCCGACGGGATAAAACAATAAGGTTTATATTCAACACCTGGTAGAAGAACCATTATAAGTTTCGACAAAGCATCCCATTCCATCATCAATTAACATGAATGCTCTATAAACCAACGATTCTCGAAAGATGTTCTGCAGAACCTTGGGGATTCAGGGTCACATGGGTTCAGAGATTTAGAAGTTTTATTTTACCAGCTCAGATTTTTGAAAACTTAATTACATCTAGTTAATAATTCCTTATTTATTTAATGATATTACGGCCGTTTTATAGATATTATTTAAATAAAATGCTAATGGAAAAAAATTTACAAAACTTTTAAAAAATATATAAGCTTACTCTGATAACAATTGAATAAATTATGAAAAGGAAATGCATTCATAAAGTTAATTACATTATAATTTCCCATTAAACTTTTCATTACATATTTTCTTGATAAAAGCCTAATATAGGCATGATGGAAAGTAAAAATGAGCGGGCAGTTTGCAGTCACAAAAATTAAATTTCAAATATAATTAAATCTTTACAAAAAAACAAAAAAAAGTCAACTTCTTTGAGTTGTATTAAGAACATTGTGTGTATATAACTGCATTGATCTACCAATAAAAAGTTGTTCAGTAGTTTTGTTTACACTACAGTATTTGTCAACAATTAATGGAATGAAATTTTCGATCTTAGAATTCAATAACATCAAATAATAATGCATAACGAAGAAACATAATATGCACGTTAGATTTGATTTTACAAAAACAATAAGCTGTTAAGATCACGCATACGAAATAAAAACATTTTGATCATTTGATCAAAAAATATTTTGAAATCGCATTTGTTACAAATCAACACTCTATAATCAAGAAATAACAAGGTAAGAACAGGAGGAAATATTGTTATAAAAACAAACACAAGAAACTTTGCTTATGAAAAATGAAATATAAAAATCGACGAAGTAAAACACAAAGTTAGAACAACAAAACAAATCGATGTAAACGTACTTACTATGGAAATTCCTTTGGTTATAGGTATCAAACATTGAAGTAATCAAATTAATATTATAGTATTATCCTTTACTAGTGGCTTGGCAAGATTTTACAACCTCATTAACACAAAACTTGAAGATAATTTCATCAATGAAGGGTCGACACATAGCACCACCTACAAATAATATCCACAAGAAGACGGGCACTGAAATTCGTATCACAATGCTGCAGAAAAGGTATCATTTTTTTAATCCTGCCCCCCCGCAGCAGGAAAGGCAAAAAGAATCACAACACAATCACATTCTTTACATGGATCAAACTGAGAAAATCCGTTGTATAAGGCCCTGAAACAATTGGTATTAACAGAATGCCACCGATAAATAGTATTCTACAAAACAAGTTGACTTTTTCTGGTAAACAAGTCGCCCCGAACGTACGACTTCTAAATCAATCATTTACGCACATATCGCCGAGTGTAAACAACCAACGACGCTCATTGGCTGCGGCAAGACGGCCGATCTCATTCAAAGAGACCTACTACGATGCGGGGATGGCGGTAGAAGATGTGCAACAAAATAATGATTCCTCTTGTTTTGTTTTTCTTTTGTGCTAGCTTTGTTTTTCTTCTTTTAAGAATGATTTCAATAGAAATTATTCTTAACGAGATTCTAAATTTTATTTTGATTTTCAAATATTCGTAACATAATGGAATAAATTATTTTTTCCCTACAATCCGTTGCACCATTTCTTGCTTGAAATCTTACTTTTTATTTTATTTAATTTTTATTTATTTTTTTGACCGTTAAAAATTATTTAAAAATTTAACTTCATTTACTGGGAGGTTCATACTTATATTGCGATAAAAGATGTCCAGTAAAATAATATTTCATCTTTCTTCGTTTTTTTTTTTTTTTTTTTTTTTTTTTTTTTTTTTTTTTTACTCTGTTGAAATTATTCTTAACGAGTATGTTTTTTATCCTTCAAATATTTATAACATTATGGAATAAATAAATTTTTCAATGCAATCCGTCGCCTAATCTCATGCTTGTGATCTTACTCTTTATTTTTATTTTGTTTTAATTATTATAGATTATTTATTTATTTTTGCCCGTTTAAAATACTTAATAAATTTAACTTTATTTATCAAACAGGGTTTATTAATTTTTTTTATCGGGTAATTATTTTTTCTTTTTAAATAAAATGGAATGAAAAAGTGACATCAATAATGATGTCTTTCGGCTACTTCGGTTAAAATTAATACCCCTTAATTTTCATACGCCATATTATTTCCAGTGTCGCGTGTAATCCACTAATTTTAAACCTCATGATGTTTTTATTTATTTTAAGGAGTAATTAATAGTTATTATTTTCCTATCTTTTATAAATTTACCGTTCTTCTCTCTTTTAAACATAAAAAAAAATATATGAAAGAAAAAATAATTAATATAAAAATATCGAAGAAAAAATATTGTAAAAGTACAACATAACGAGGTTAAAGAACGATAGATTGACCGAAAGGAATGAGTGGACTAGACTTGGCATAAATCTAACAGTTAAGTAGCGGTCAGACATCATGTAGTTGTATAACGTGGGAGGGGGGCATATTTCACACAAAACCAACATATTTCAAGCGTAGGCAGTTTTGTTAAAGGGGAGAATATTAGTATAATATTTTAACAAAAATTATTATTTTTGAAATAGTAAATCTAACATTAGGTGCTTAGAAGATTGAAGCGTTGCAACCTCCCCGGAATTCAAAAATATTATATTAAATATTAATTTTAATATTTTAACAAAAATCATTGTCTTTAAAATACTAAATTCATCATAAGGTGCTTCAAATATTGAAATGCTGAAATCTCCCCGTAATTAAGAAACATTACTTTACAACTAAACATTAACAACTAAAATGCTTATCTTTAAAATAATAAATTTAACATAAGAGGCTTCGAAGATTGAAGCGTTGCAACCTCTCCGGAATTAAGAAACACAATATAAAGCATTATTTTTTGGGAAGTAATTTTGTAAAATTTTAATTTAATCGTTAATAACTTATGGCTTAAAGTGTTTAAATTAACGCGTACAATTGCAGTACAAAGCTCATAAACTTGTGTAGCACTGGATCAAGCATTTTAGCTAAGGCTCTAATAGGAAATCTGAACCAATTCTTTGGCAGTACGCCAATATGAAGTAAACAAGTTCGCGAGTATTAACATTAACGTGAGAGTTTAAAGCCCATTTAGATTTTTAAAATTATTAATATTGGTAATTGTGCAGCGATGAATTCGAGAAACAGTTTAAAAAAAGGGGCTTTCTTATATTTAGATATCCATCAAATCTCGAAAGAAAGAAGAAATTTGAAATGAATTGCTGGAGATATAACTAGCAGCCTGGAAGTGGATCTCTCGGTAAATACTCATTTATTTATAATTTTTTGAATTTATTTTATTATTGATATTAAAATTATTAATATGGGTAATTGTGCAGCGATGAATTGGACAAATAGTTAAAAAAAGGCTTTCTAATGCTAAAATTTCATTCAGATCTCGAAAGAAAGAAGAAGTGGGTAATAAATTGCAGAAGATATAACTGGTAGTGGAGCTTGCTTATGTGAGGAAAATACTAATTTATTTAAAATTTATTGAATCTATTTACTTATCTATGCAGTATATAAACGATCTTAAGTTGTTAGAATTTGTTCCTGAATGCTTGTTTTTGTCTGTTTTTTTTTAAATAAATAAGGGAACAATTTTTCAGAATTGTTAAATTTTAACGATGTATCAAATATAAGAATTTTTATTGAAAACTGCATTTATTAAGTAAATATTTATTTAAAATATGACCTTTAAACAACATTTAATAATTTATCTAACTATTTTGAATGTTTGTGTGTTATAAAACCAGTAAATAAAGACAAGAACTTGACTGAATAAGTATTCGCCAAATTTATCTTAGAATCGGCAAGTTTTGTATTCACTCTTTTAAGAGTTTCCTTTTTCTTTTTCTTTCACTTTTTTTTTTCTGTTAAAAATAAATATTTACCTGTTTCTAATTGTATTTCATTTTGATTCACTAATATGTCAGATAATTAGTTTTTTAATCCCGACTTATTGAAGTTTTATTTCGTTACTTATGATAATATATTGCTTAAAGTTCAAACGGTTTGTTTACATTTATAATAAGAAATCTATTTAATATTCGTTTTTCATACATTTTCATTCGATTTTTCATAAGTTTTGTATACACTTTTAAGTATTTCCTTTTGTTTTGTCAAAAATAAATATTTACCTGTTTCTAATTGTATTTCATTTTGATTCACTAAATATATCAGATAGTTAGCTTTTTAATCCTGACTGATTTTATTATTTTTTTTAGTTACTTATAATACATCGCCTAAAGTTCAAACGGTTTGTTTACATTTATCATAAGAAAACTGTTTAATATGCGATCTTTCATACGTTTTTGAGTATCCAAATGTTATTTTTTTTCTTTAAAATTCTTATTGTTAAATTGCTGAAATAATTAGTTTTTGTTGTAGAAAAGTTAATGGGATAGTATGTTTACAAAATTTAAACTCTGAATCTTTTAATGTGATTTAATTTAAATATGAAAATATAGAAAAATATTTCAAATTTTCTTGCAGGTTCATCTTGAAGAATCTCAACTTAAAGTAAGTAGGAAAGATGGCAACAAAAAAAATAAGGCCGGGTGCTATTCCGAATCCCTTAAAAAATTTCCCTCAAAAAGACTAAAAGGAGCAAGTTGTCCAAAACCAGGATCAATTTTAGATAAGCTTAAATCTAATGTAACTTTAAATGTACTGATTATTCTCCATTTTTTTCATACATTTTTTCTAATTTTATTATTATTAAGGAACCAAAAATGGGTATAAACTGTTTCTATCTAGTCATGAATAGTATTTTTATTTTAAATAACAGTAATAATAAATTTTGTAATGATTTTGTACAAGTATAAAAAAAAATTTCCGAAAAACAATGTAAATCGATGTATACGCAAACACGCTTTTCTTTACGGATTATCATATTTGAGGTTAACGTCGTTTGTAGCGATAGGTTGTCAAATCTTGTAACTCCTCCGCATTGGAGAAAAGATTTTGCTCCGAAATGGAGGATGAGCCGGTCTCTCTAATTTTAGCTAACCTCAATTAATAGCAAGAGCCATTTTAATATTTTCAATAACTGTGACAATCGTTTTTGTTATCTTCACACATTTTATTCTAAGACATATTTTTCCTGCATTTTTCTCCTTTTTTTTAATTAATTTACTTTGCACTAGATTATTTTTGAGATCATTTACTTCTAATTTCAAAAGCGTGTCATTAGGGGTTCCCTTCACCATGTCAACCGTCACATTAAAGAATCATTTTGATATAGCGATTGAATACAGGAAGAGAACAAGAGACAAAAGAAAGCGAAATAAAGTCTTGTTATCTGCATCACTAAACAACATAAAGCTTCTATCATCTGCACTGTTGTATACAATGCCATGTGCAATGGTAGTACGAAGGCATCTGAATGTTGTCTGCACAATTTCCCAATCAGTTTCTGTGGGATTGTCTAATTCACGCTTGATCTTTATCATTCCATCAGCATTCGGAAGCTCATATTCAATCTTCAGATTTGCCTTCTTCACCGGAATGCGCGATGTCTTGGTAGCATCCCCAAAAGGCTCTAGCATCTTTTTAGTAAATGCTTCTTGGTGCAAGAAGATTGAGCCGTCCTTCAACTATTGAACTTGTGGATCAAGGAAACAATTTAATGTTGTCACTCTTAAGGTTGAAATGTTGCTTGAGTTCGTTCATAAAGGTGAGGAATGATGCTTCGTATTGTACAGCAACAATACCATCATCGACATAAATCGCCATCACGATCTTGTGTCCCAAATCTTTACGAGCGAACAGGCAGTGGTCAGATTTGCTTTGCGTCATACCATGTCTCGTTAACACGTCTGTAAATGTGGCTTTCTGACATCGGTCAGTCCAGCAGTGGACTGATCGTAAAGGCACGGATCCCAGTAGAACACCGAACTCAAGCATCACTGGGTGCTGTCAGTAAGCGGGTGGGTGATCAGCCTGCGTAGGAACCGAGGATGTGCGGAATCGGTTCTCGTTAAACTGCTCTACCGTAAAGTGCTCGACTTCTCTCGCAGATCGTCGGGCTACCCAAGCAAGGGAGCCATCCCCTCTGCGGAGGATCAAAATTGCGATGACCTGTCTTAGGATCATCCTCAGGGATGTTTCCCAGATCATCTCTAATAGCCCATTGTGCAACTCTAATCTCGCGACGTAAATAAAATACCAACATCGGCCAGCTTGCTTAAGACCGTGCAAAGGTCTTAGCATCTTGCACATACGTCCGCTTGCGTCATCATATCCTTCGAGTTAATATGTGTATATATCCTCAGTCAAGTCATCACAAAGGAAAGCTGTCTCCACGTCAATTCGGAATAATTTTAGTTCT